GCACAGATGAGGCCAGTTTTCTGGGACCTGGGGCAGCCGCAGCCTGTGTCAGCATCTCTGGCTTTGAACCCCAGGGAGTTGAACACTTAATGGCTCCATCACCAATGTGTGTCTGTGTTTCCAGGTTCCCTCTCCCAGCCTGTGCTGACTCATCCACCCTCCCTCTTTGCATCCCTGGGAGCATCTGCCAGACTCACCTGCACCCTGAGCAGTGACATCAATGTTGGTGGAAAAGTCGTATACTGGTGCGAGCAGGAGCCAGGGAGCAGTCCTTGGTATCTCGCGAGCTACTACTCAGAGTCAAATAAGCTCCAGGGCTCTGGAGTTCCCAGCCAGTTCTCTGGATCCAAAAATGTCTCAACTAACTCAGGGTTTCTGCACATCTCGGGGCTGCAGCCTGAGGATGAGGCTGTTATTGTAAAATATGGCATGATGGCACTGATGCTTACACAGTGCTCCAGACCCTCAGGGAAGTGATTTACAAAACGTCTCTCCACTCTCCCAGCCTGGTACATTCACCCTGCTGGGGGCTTTGATGAAGCCTAGGTCAGGAAGTGACTTTTCTTGCTACATCTTCAATCAACACTTAAATTTTTTCAAACCAGTAGATCTCAAAATGTTATGACTTTTTATTTAGTTCAACTTTTAGATTGCTAATATATACTTTATCATCATATTTTCAGAGACAAAAATGATTTGATTAGAGATTAGAAGTTTGGCTGGGAGCAATGGCTCATGGCTGTAATTCCAGTACTTTTGGAGGCCAGATCACCAGGGGGAGAAACAAATGCGTGAGAACAGCTCCTCCTCTGTCAGGCCAGTGATGAAGATAAAAGCAGCCTCAGGTGACAGAGCTGAGGCTGGCATGTCAGCTGTGTCCACCATGGCCTGTCATCACTTCTATTTGTGTCTCTCTCCCACTGCACAGGTGAGGCCAGTTTTCTGGGACCAGGGGCAGCCCCAAACCTGTGTTCACATCTCTTTAGCATCTTGAAGGCAGGAAGATCACTTAAGATCAGGAGTTCAAGACTGGCCTCTGCAACATGGTAAAGCCCTGTCTCTCTCTATATATAATTATCCTGGCATAGTGGCACATGACTGTAATCTCAGCTATGCAGGAGGCCGAGGCAGGAAAATCCCTTGAAACCAAGAGGAGGCTTCAGTTAGCTGAGATCACACCACTGCATTCCAACCTGGATGACAGAGCAAGACTCTGTCTTAAAAAAAAAAATTCTTAATGGAGACATTGAAGGAGACAGAAAGAGGTTTATTCCAGCCATGCCTTGCTCAGAGTCTAGGAGTGACTCAGAGATGATTCTGGTGTAAGTGGTTCAAATGGATTCTGCTATATGTTATCAACATGTAGAAATAAATTATATTCTACATACTAGCAATAAACTATCAAACATCATTAAACAAAAACAATAACAACAGCATAAATATTATCTATGAAAATAAATCCGAGAAAATTGAAAGTCTCCTACAGTAAAAAGTGCAGAATATTGAAAAGGAAATGAAGAAAAATTAAATCAACATGCACTCTTAGTTTGTAATTTAAACTCTTAATATGGTTAAGAAAACATTCTTTTTACAGATCAATCAGTATACTCTTGATGCAGTTTCCTGGTAGAAAAATAAAGAAACAAAGAAACCAAAAGTTACTATGAAACACAGACACTAGTAAGAAAATATTACCAAATGGACTTCGTGTCATACAAAAAAACATGCACACCGTGAACCAACAGAGTTTATTGCAGGGACGCAAAGATAGCTCAGTGTGTGAATTTTAATCAACGAAATTCACTGCCTTTCCAGGCTAAAGCAGAACACAGGATATTATCAATCCATCCAGAAAAGGCATTTGATGAAATTCAACACTCAATTAGGATAAAAAGTAGCAGAGATGGAGAGGTGCCTCCTCAACATGATAAATAAACTATAAACACTTGTAACAAAAAAAACATGAAAGTGAACTATGGATGGCATTTCCCCTTAGGAGGGAACAAGGCAAGGATGTCCCATCTCATCACTGCAGTTCCACACAGGACTGCAAGATACAGCCAGACAAGTACAACATAATTTTAAAAAGACATAAATACCACAAGAGTCATAATAAAACTCCCCTATTTTCAGGCGATGGGATTATCTACACAGAGTTGCAACACAAATGATTTCATCTAGGTCACAGGACACAAGATCAGCATGAAAATAATGATCTAGATGTATTTGTAATAGCGGTAAGCAAGGCAAAATGAAAATGTAAAATCCTTCAAAAGGGGAAAATAAACTCTCAAATTTTAACTCTCATCTTTAACAAAAATTGACTTAAATGAATTCTATACATAAATATAAAACAACTGTTAGAGAATAACCTTGCATAAAATCATCAGACTCTAGAAAATATTTAAACATCCTTAGACAAGATTGTACCAAGGATACAACCCATAAAAGGAAAAAGATAGCAGAAGCATGTCACCAAAAATAAAATTTTTGTTTCGTGAAATAGTCTGATAAAACCAAAAAGTGACTAGATTTGAACTGGGAGAAAATATTCTAAAATCATATATTTGACAATATATTAATATTTAAATATATGTGACATGCAATTTACTCATATAACAAACCCACACATCTGTCCCCAAGCCTAAAATGAAAGCTGGAGAGAGAGAGAGAGAGAGAGAGAGAAACTTTTAGAAAAAAATTTACTAATTGTTTATAGCAATTCAACTTTTTTTCCTCAAAATTATCTCTGAAAAGAATTGAAATAAAATTCTTTTAAAAGGAGTCTTGAAAACTCAACAATAATAAAACATGAAATTCAATTAGAAAATGGCTAAAAGACATGAACAGATATTCCATGAATAAAATATACAAACGGCAAACTCACAAAGAGATGCTCAACCTCACTCACCATTAGGGAAATACAAAGTAAGAATTCGATGAGATGTCAGTTTACACATATTAGAACAGTTAGAAAAATAATGCCAGTACTCAGTGCCAGTGAGGATAAGAAAGAAATGGATTGGAATGGATACATCCTTCTTCCCTCCTGGAAGGAAAGCTGCCCTGAACCCTCAGAGGCCCAGCCGGCGGATGAGGCTGAGTGCTACTGTAGGCTACACCACAGTGGTCCTTAGCACAGTGAGGGACCCAGATGGGAAAAGAGGTCATGAAGGAGCTTTTGGCTGATCCTGGGTACAAACATGAACATGGGAGATCAGGATCACATGATCGGACACCCACGCTCTCAGGGACACCTAAATGTTAACTATTCGTAGAGAGAAAGGTGGGTGAAATGGTGTAAATTGATTCCTACAACTGTTTGAATTTTAAAGTGGAAAATATTTGCGAGTGATTTGGGAGATGCAGGCTCCCTAAAAAGAAGAACTGATTTACTTTGCATTTCAAAAATCAAACTAATAGTTGGATCAAGTCTAAAGACTAGGTTCAAACACATTTCATTCAGAAAGCAGCAACTCCAAGGATTTTGTTGTTGTTGTTTTTACCAATTAAAACCAAAAAGAAAACTCACTTTTGTATATTAATAAAGTTTATTTTATATTCTAATTTACAAGTGTATTTCTTGGCTCCTTTAAGTATTAAAAATTAAAAAGTATCAGATTTTTAGGGGGGACTCTCTTCTCTAATGTCGTGTAAAAAATATCCACCTAGGAAAATACGTTGAAGGCCTAACTCCCAGTACTTCTAAATGTGACATTTTAGAAATAGTGTTATTGCATGTGTAATTCGGGTGAAGCCATCTTAGAGTCAGGTGGCCTCCTGATCCAATGCGCCTGGTGTACTTATAAGACGATAGTAGTGAGGAGATTGGAAGACAGAGAGAGAATGCCATGTGAAGACGAAGGCAGAGATTAAGGATTCAGGCAAGAAAAGGAACACTAAAGATTGCTGGCAAACCACCAGCAGTCACGAAGAGGGAGGGAAGGATCTCCCTTCAGGAGTATGAGGCTGGTCTCCAGAACTCTGAGACAATGCATTTGTGTTGTCTTAAGCATTGTGCCAGCAATTCCAGAAAACTGATACACCAAACAATCAATGACACAATATTTTTGAAGTTAATTATACTTCTTTCTTCTTGGCAATCAGTTTTTCCATGAGTATAATCACACCTGTGCTCATATTTCTAAACTTATAACTATGCTTGTAATTTAAGGTTAAGGTAAGAAATTCCCTGTCTTAAAGATCCGTAAGTATATGAGGACTGCTTAATATTATTAGCACTATGACATCTAGAGCAAAACTGTAGCTCTTACATAATCCACTTGCTCACTACTATTAAGATGTGAAGCTGGAAAGATCATCTTGTTATTCACAAAACACTTCTGGTCATCTCTGTGGATGTGAGAGTGCAGGAGGAGGCGCAGGTGTGTTCACTGGGAAGTCATAAATGCAGCTGCCTGGAGCATCATGTACAACAATGTGAGTTTGCTGGGCACATGGGCAGGAAGCAGAACAGACTGTGGCATGAGTAGCCACCTATCACCAAACCCACCAGCACCTTCCTTCCTCGGTCAGCCCAGAGCTGCTCAGACTTGAATATGTACCTAGATCGTGTGGTATCTTGGATAATGTGGATTCTGATCAATGGGTCTAGAGTGTAACCTGATATTCTGAATTTCTGAAAGGTCCCTTCTTCCAGAAATCCACATACATGTTCTAATACTGCCAAATTCGTAAACATGGTGGGAAGTAGGAAGGGGAGCCTCTTTCAGTCAGAAACCAAAGAGAAATTTATCTGAGAGGGAACTAAAGGATTATGATCAAAGAACTATCCACAAGTCCGGGCAGAGACATGTTCCGAGAGAGCAGGTGGGAAGTTGAGAGGGGCTCTATTTCCTTTAAGAAATGAAGAGAAATGAAAGCAAACACACCTCAAACCTCCTCTTGAACCAACATCCCAACCGGCTCCTGCCCAATCTCCGCACTGGTGTGGCTTACAGAGTGTGGACCCTCCTCACCTCTCTTTTCCCTGTCTCTGACTCACAACTTTTCTCAGTTCTCCTGTTCTCTCCCTTTTATTCCACATTCCACTTCTCTCCTCTCCTGTGACATCCTCAGTCAATCACCGAAATCTTTCTAGAAGAAAAACCACGGGCATTTTTCATATCTTTTCTTGAAAGTTGTCGCTCACATTCCCTCTTCTTTCTGAAACCTCTCTAATCTCTTACTACAGAAGACGGCCCGAGGCCACTGCTTCTCTTTTCCTCCTCCTCAAGTAGCTTCTCCTTCTACTCCCTGTTTCTCTTCTCAGATGTTACCAGATCATCCAGGGAAGCAGTCAGTCAGGTTAAAGGACGGGTCCTCCCAAGTGCTCACCAGCCTGCTCCCTATGTGTGATCTCCTGAAGAGTCAAGTAGGGAGAGAGAAACATGGCTTCATGAGTTCATGGGGAAGTGGGTGCATGACTGAACTGTCCCTGTTCTCAGCAAATGTGCTTTTTATTTTATGCATAGTTTGGATATGAGACAACCTTCCCCTAGGGACTCTTTATAAAATGGGGAGAATTGTGTGTCTTATTCCAACAAAGGAGGCCCAAATAGAAAACTAAAGACTGAGATGAGGTAGGAGGCTGCCATGAGAAGGCCTCTCACTCCGCCCTCGGACAGGGAATCGGCAACGGTCAGGCCCTGGTGGGGGCAGGAGCCTCTGTCAGGACCCCTAGCCTCCAATCACAAACACAATCGGCTTTGGCCTGGGCAGTAGGGGGTGCTGTGGGGCCTGCCAGTGAGGGCTCTGTGGGGCGGGAAGCCAAGGAAACAAATACTTGAGCTTGGTCTGTACCCCGGACTGGGGTCGCCAGCTGGGTCTTCTCTGGGTCCCTGGGGAGCCCCAGGCAAGGCTCAGCTCAGGCTCACGCCACCCAGAAATAACACCCAGCCACAGAGGCTGCACATAGGCTTAGGGAGGGATATGGTTGGGCAGGGGAAGAGGAGCACATTTGCATGAAGGGCCCCTCACTCTCCTCTGGGGCTACAGGGTGGATAAGAGAGACCTGTAGTCTGGCTGCCTCAGCAGCGCTCTGGGGAGTCTGCACCATGGCCTGGACCACACTCCTCCTCCTCCTCACTCTCCTCCTTCACTGCACAGGTCAGGAGGACCCTCAGCATCCTCATCCCCAGCACGCTGACACCACTTCCCAAACTCATACCAAAAATGTTGATATCTCTTGTTCTTCCTCCAGAATATAATGTGTGTCTGTGTTTTTAGGGTCTGTCTCCCAGCCTGTGCTGACTCAATCACCCTCTGCCTCTGCTGCCCTGGGAGCCTCAGTCAAGCTCACCTGCACTCTGAGCAGTGGGCACAGTAGCTATGCCATCGCATGGCATCAGCAGCAGCCAGGGAAGGCCCCTCGGTATGTGATGGAGCTTACAGGTAGTGGAAGCTACAACAAAGGGGATGGAATCCCTGATCGCTTCTCAGGCTCCAGCTCTGGGGCTGACCGCTACCTCACAATCTCCAACCTCCAGTCTGAGGATGAGGCTGATTATTACTGTCACACCTGGGATACTGGCATTCACACAGTGACACAGGCAGATGAGGAAGTGGGACAAAAACCCCAGCCTGCTTAGGGCCTTGTTCTGTGAAAAACTTCAATTTTAAGACATTCCTCATATGTACAACATCTACTTGGAAGCATTCTCTGGTTTAAAACAATTGTACTCTCGATTTCCCATTCAATGTTTCTAAAGTCTCAGAAAAAGTAAAAACAAAAGCAAAAACATAAACCTCCTGATAACGCTGAGACATTGCCTGCTTGTGTACACATGCTAATACCAAACCCTGTGACTCTTTTCTCTTGAGAGAGAAAACAAAACAAAAGCAAAAACATGAGCCTTCCCTGGAGCAAATCTTGCTCAGAGCCCAAACACCAAGTCAGCAGGTGGACCGTTCCCTACCGCATGGACTCTGTTCTTCAAGGGATGAACAAAGAGACCTTCCCTTCCCACCAAGGTATCTGCAGTCAGGGCTGTGTGATGCTCCCTGTGCCCTGGGACAAGGCACTCAGGTGTGAAATATCATGGAGGTCACAGGCCTGGGAGAAATGCCAGGCCTAGAAGTCACCTGCTTCACTTGCAAATTCTTTTACCTGTCAAATTGTCAGAATAGGATGGGTTTGCGCATGGGGGAACCTACTGGGGCCAGAAAACCTCTTTGTGGGCTGTGAGAAGGTGGCACGGAGGCTCCTAGGGCTCATGAATGTGGCTTCCTTCCAGCTCATTCCACTCAGGAACATGAGGACCCCCTGAGTTCACAAACACTGACTTGTGTTCTCTCTTTTCCTACCCCATTGGAGCTTTCCAACCATCTTGGCAGTGCAGTGGAATCTGTGGGACAACAGACAGCAGAAACTCCTCAACCTGAGCAAGTGAAACTCCCTATGTGAAGCTCTTGATACGCCCAAATCCTGCGGTCACTTTCTCCTGAACAGGGAACAGCAGAGATATTAAGGGTTACCATGGAAACTGGCACTGATGGCTCCAGAGGAACCCTGAATTTGCGACCCAGGACTGGAGTGATTGACCTTCAGGGGTCCAAGTCTGTTCTCTTTTGTCAATCATTCTTGACCACCTCTGGGCTTCAGACTGAGGGTCAGGATGACTATCACTGTCACAGCTGAATACAACCTGATGCTACTGTGAGCTCCCATTCCACGGGAATGTGACATAAAAATCTGCCCTCCATTTCCTCCATTAAATCCATCACTGTCCTGTGCCTATTGTTAGTAACACTTGCACAAGTTTTGGTTTCTGTTGTCACTGTGCTTCCAGTGGGTCTGATACCTTAATTTAGCTCATCTTGAAGAGGCCAGTGAAAATAAACCTTTTCTTAATGGCCTCCCAATGCACATAGAACATTTGCCTGCAGAGGCTAAGATACCCCCCTCCATGTGCAAGATGGGTACGTCCAGGGGAACACAGTCCCTACCCATGTGACACAGGAGATCTGAGTCTCATCTTCCCAGTCCTGTAGATATCCCCTGTCCAGGCCTTGTGGATCATTCTCTGAGCTCTGAAACCCTAGGGAAACTGCTTCCTCTCGCTCCTCAGAAGACATCCCCAAGGAGTTTCTGGATCCTGAGGTACAGAATCAACCTCCCAGTTAGAATGGGGCTTTGGAACCCATCACTGTTCACCCTCTCTACTTTAATCCCATGAACCTTAATTCTTCCCCTACTCTGCTTCTTTGGCTGGGATGATGCTGGACTGCATCTCAGTTCTTTGGAGACTAGAAGGATAAAAAGCACAGAAAGCGGCTCGGCATGGTGGCTCATGCCTGTAATCCTAGCACTTTGGAAGGCCGAGATGGGTGGATCACCTGAGGTCGGGAGCTCAAGACCAGTCTGATCAACATGGTGAAACCCCATCTTTAAAAAATACACACAGGAAGCTTTCATTTGGTTAAGCAATATCTCCCAAGAGCCACTGTGGAGCTGCTTTCTGCGCATCTCCCTCCTGCATCGTGATGGAGTCCTGGACCCTGGGCTCTCCTGCGTCATTCAGCTTGCCATCCCTCCCCTCATTACTAGGGCTGGGTAGAGGAGGGGTGGTAATTGTTTAATAGGTAGTTTCAGGGGTATTACAGAAAGTGAAGCAGAAACTATAAAGAAAAACAACTTTCCCAGGCTGGCTCACTCCAAGGCCTAGAGATAGGCAGAGCCCAGGCAGAGCTCTGATAGCACTATCTACAAAGCCTTCAAGGGACTGGCTCCAGAATCCCCCCACCACAGCATTTCCTCCCAGAACAGAGATAAGAAAAAGTTTAACAAGTACCCTCTGTAAGGCCAGTTGCCTCTCCGGGAGCTCGGACACGCCCATCCGTCTCCACGCCTGAAATTACGTCACCAGAATGTGCACTCAGCATCTAGCTTTGCCACGCTCACCTGTGCACTCAACACTAAACTCTGCACTGGGCACCTAGCCACCGGTTGGAAAACCCCGCCAAAATTTAAAAGAAGCCCCACCAAAACCCACCCAATAGCACATTGCCCCATCCAACCTGCTCACAGGAAATCCCGCCTACCTACCTATAGCAGCTTGCCACGTCCGCGTCCTGTTCTCCACAGCCAATCAGAGCGCCTTCCCTCCCTATATAACCCCATGCCTGAGAGGAGTCAGGCGCTACTTCTCTGGCCCCCTTTCCCTGGACCGTAGAACCTCGCCAGGGAGCTGAATAAATTGGCGTCTAATTGTTCTCATTCAGGCCTCAGTTTCTTCATTTTAAACTCGGCAGTAATCCTTACAGAGAATAATAAACCTTACACCCTCTATTTCCTTGGCTTGTTCTTTGTTCTGTCAAGTAACTATGTTTTTGCAAAGGTTGTAAAAGTTCTATAAATTCCTCTTTTCCCATCTGTGTGGAATGCTGAAGTCCATGAGTTTTGTCTAAGCTGCAATAGCTCTCACTACTTGATAAACTGCCTTTGTTCTGCCTCTATGAGCTCACTTTCCTGCCTTGCCAGTTCAGTGCCAACCCCCTTCAGTTGCATGCATAAAAGTGAAGCTCTGTTTTTGTTCGGGGCTCAGCCTTTGGATGTTAATCCACTGAGCTGGTGGCCACTTCAATAAAATCCTCCTGTTTCACCCATCGGTCTCTCCTGTCTCTCAATTCCCACGACAAAAGTACTTTCCATAATCTTTGCTTATAATATTTTTATCTAGATGTCTGCTCCTCAGGATATGATTGTGGTAGTGGAAGTCTGTTACTTGAGGAAATGTGGGCTCAGCATTCTGAAAGGTCGGACTCTTGCTTGGCCTAGGGCTAGTGTGGAAGAGAAAGAAGAGAGGTACTTAGCTGTGGACAATGAAGGCACAGCTGTCAAGGGGCTAAGGTCTCTACAATGTGGGCTTAATTTATTTTTTTCTTTGCAACATATGTGAATGAGGGACTGACAGGAGGACGGAGGCTTAGAGGGAGAGGCTGGTGCTGCCCTGTCCTTTCTGAGTTTCTTGCTCTGCTGCCCCTAGGGGAGGCTCCTCAGGGAGGAGGAGCTCCAGGCCTCTCCTATAAAGCTCACACAGCGAGCTTGGCAGGTGAGTGCAGGGGGAGAAGGGCTGTGTGAAAACTTGAGACTCAGGTGCTAAGCGGCATGGACGCTGCCCAGCTCCATCCTTTCATGGAGAGGACAGAATGGGCACTGGAAGGGACAGAATACATGGGTGCATCTGGGCCTTGGGCAGCAGGGGACACTGAGGCCTGTGTTCTGGATCCAAGCTGGAAGCTACTCCCTGGCCCTGGGCTGGAGTTCTCTGCCCTGACCCACTGTAGCCAGCAGTTGTATCCTCACAGGTTCCTGTGGACCACATAACAGCCCCACCCAAGTCTGCACCCTCCCAGGGTCAGCTTTCCAGGCAGAGTTAAGTGTCACGTCCCATGGTGGGGCTTGGACAGCTCAAGGGAGGAGGCTTGTTTGCATGAAGTGTCCCTACTCGCCCTGGGTTGCAGGAGGTAGGAGGAGGGACTTGGGCAGCTCAGGCCCAGCTGAGGGTCCTCAGGATGCAGAGCTGTATGGAGGTACCCACCATGGCCTGCCATTTTCCCCTTCTTGCTCTTCTTATTTGCTACACAGGTGTCTGGGGCCAGGCATCAGGACTATGGATAAAAGGACCGAGGATTGTGTGTGTGTCTGTGCCCACTGTCCTGCTGTCCTGCCTCTTTTACCCTTTGTCTGTCCTAACGTCCAGGGCCCGGGGCCCAATCTGTGCTGACTTTAGCCATCTGCAGTGCCTGAGTGTGTGGGCAGATGATCACCAGCTCCTGCCCTGGAAGTAGCAGTAACACTGGGCAAGGGCATGGTCCTGATACCAGAAGTTCCCAGCAGGGATCCCAAACTCCTCGTCTATGACAACAGTCATCGGCCCATATTGAGTGAACACTGCCTTCCTGAGCATCTCTGGGCTCCAGCCCAAGGATGAGGCTGATTATCCCTGCTCATCTTGGGACAGAGACATCAAGCTTATGCAGTTCTGCCGGCACTGTGACACTAAAACCTTCGGTGCACCCAGTGAGATGTTTTCCCTGTGCAGCCCCCAACCCTTGCCCAAGTCAGCTGCTTAGCCCTGGTGGGTTGTTTCTTAGTCACTCTCATTCTTTTCATAAAATAATTTTTTAAAAATTTAAGATAAATTTTGAAGACAAGTAGTCACCATTCCTGTATTAAATATCTATATCTATATATGTGCATGTGTATAAACATACCCTTATACAAACAAAAAGTGTAGGATACTGTCTTAATGTGTTAATAATGTCCACTCATAAATAATGAAAACACACACGCACATCCCTAATGTTGAAATAGCAGCACCATTTCCTTTTGAACTGGAAAAAGAATCGTGATTATGGCTCATGCAGATATTGGGTAACATTTTTTTCTAGCAATACAAGAAGTAACACGAACAAAAAGCATATTAAGTTCAAATTTATATGTGTATACAAACATATATTTGTATATTTTTATCTTATATATATATACATATACACATATATCATATATGTGTATATATATATGTGTGTGTGTAATATAAGATATAGGTGTACATTTCTGTATATATATAGAATATATGTGTATATCTTATATTACACACACACAGACAAACACACACACAAAGAAGAAAAGACCTTATACTGTTCTGATTTTATTAACCATGAATAAGACTTTTGCAAGAAGTAGAAAAGCTATATAAAATACATTATCTTATATACTTTCAAAAATTAGTTTAAAAGATAGCTTTTTATAATGCCAACACAATATGAAAAATAACTTCATAATTAAATGCTCATCATAAAGTATGCAGTATATCTAAGAAAATTACTTTAAAACTCGTGGTTTAATATAAGTAACCATGGCAATTGTATTTTTTTATTAAGACACTAAAATAATTTCAGCATTCAGTAGATGAGGTTGCACAAATATCCTGTTTACATTTACATGTTTAATTTTGTGTTTTCCTGAGAAGATTCCTGGGTGGGTACAAGCAAAGGTGACTGTGCAGACCCTAGGCTCCAACCTGGCACTTCTGTCCAGCCCATTATCAAAGGCCCAATGCCACATGTGGTCCATCATAACCTTCTGACCAAAGCGCCCTCCATGAGCAGGTGCCTCCCTCAGGCAGGAGGTTGGCGTTACCTCTTGGACATGGTGCAAAGTGTACCAGGGCCACCAGGGGGTTGCTGTGGCCCCTCCTCTGAGATAAATGGTGAGGAAACAGCTATGAATGACACATCTGGCCTTCTGCTCAGCCTCCCTGGGGCCAGGGTTTTCTTCCTCCCATGTGCCTGGGGACCACACATCAGAAGTCTACCAGACTCATGACCCCCACCAAGAAACTCCAAGGCAGAGGGTCCTGATTCATGGCTCAGAGAGGGGATGTGGGGGAGTCAGAGGGGTGGAAAATAATTTGAAGAAGGGATCATCTTCCATCAGAGAGAAAAGATAAGAGAAACGTGGGTATCTCTGTCTCAGAAGATTGACTCAAGAAGCAAAGCTCTGGGGCATCTTCACTATGCCTAATCTCTCTCCTCTCGCTCTCATCTCTCAGTGCACAGGTATCTGAAGTCTGCATTTAGGGGAGGATCCACAGACACAGGGAACGCTATCTCCTTGGGTGATCAGGCTGGGTTGTGGGCTGGCCCCGAAGCTCTCCATCTCTGTGATTCTACGCTCTTCACTTCAGGATCCTGGGCAAAGTCTTTGTTGGCCCTGCAGTCCTCAGAGTCAGGGTCTTTGGCAGGAGGTCACCACCTCCTGCTCTAGGAGCTGCAACATTCTTGGATCCTGTGACACGTGCTGGTACCAGCTCTTACCGAATGCTTCCCTCACATTCCGCTTCTGGGAAATATTAAGGCTTCAGCCATTCCAGATTATTCTCTGGGTCCTGTTCAGGCAACAAGGCCTCTTTATCTCTGGTGTCAAGCTGTAAAACAAGGCTTATTCCTTACTGTAACACATATGTGGGAGTTCAGATACAATGGGAGGCAGGAAATACTTTATTTGTCAGTATCAATTATGTGTGTTAGGACATGCTTGCATTGCTACAAAGAAATATCTGAGGTTGGAAAATTTAGAAATGAAAGAGGTTGAATTGGCTTTTGGTTCTGCAGGCCATACAAGAATCACGGTGTCTGCATTTGCTTGGCTTTTGAGGACATCTCAAGGATATTTTACTCAGTGGAACATGAAGTGGAAGCAGACATCTCTCACAGCAGAGTGGGAGCAAGAAAGATAGTAAGAGGGGAGGTTCCACACATCTAAACAGTCGGATCTTGCAAGAACTCGGTCACTGTCATGAGGACAGCACCAAGCCTTGAGGAATCCTCTCCTGTCACGCAAACACCTCCCATCAGGTGCCACATCCAACACTGGGGATTACATTTCACTGGGAGCTTTAGAGAGGACACACATCCAAACCGTAGCAGGAGGTGCGTGCCTTGTAACCAGCAGGGGGTGCTGTGGGGCTGCCCTATGGTCCCTAAACAGCTGCTTAGTAAGAACCACTCACTCCAAGACACCTGTGTCCTGTGCTCACTGATGGTGACTTAGGAGCTATGTCCTCTCTGGCCTGGCAGAGTCCCCTAAGCAGAGACCTATGTATGGTCTCAGCAGGTGCTTCCTCCCAGGGGGGAAACCAAACCTTCGTCCTCCTCAGCCTGCAGTATGAGCTAGGCTTTAGCTCCTGGGCTGGGGCAGGGGCGCGGGGAGGGCTGGGAAGTCCTTGCAAACACATTTGCATGAGCAGCCCCTCCTTTGGCAGAGGATGGAGAAGAAAAGGAGACCTGGGGCAGCCCAGGCCCACTGTTGGGGCTCAGGGGCTTTGTGACCATGGCCCAGACTCTTCTCCTTCTCATGCTCCTCTCTCACTGCACAGGTAAGGAAAGTCCTTATAAACTGATTCTCAGTGTCCAACCTACACCATCCCCTGTGGCTCATACCTATGAGAAACTTTACCCTGGGCACTGCCTTACCATCCATGATGCCTGTGTTTTCAGGTTCCCTCTCCCAGCCTGTGCTGACTCAGCCATCTTCCCATTCTGAACCTTCTGGAGCTTCAGCCAGACTCACATGCACGCTGAGCAGTGGCTTCAGTGTTGGCGACTTTTGGATAAGGTGGTACCAGCAAAAGCCAGGGAAGCCTCCTCGGTATCTCCTGTACTACCACTCAGACTCAGATAAGGGCCAAGGCTCTGGAGTTCCCAGCCGCTTCTCTGGATCCAGCGATGCATCAGCCAATGCAGGGATTCTGCACATCTCTGGAATACAGCCCGAGGATGAGGCTGACTATTACTGCTCTACATGGCACGGCAGCTCTAAGTCTCACACAGTGCTCCAGGCCCATGAGGTGGTGAGACAAAAACCTCTCCTCTGCTCTCCTGGCCTGGTGCAGTCACCACTGCTGGTGGCTCTGATTAAGTCTAGCTCAGGGGGTGACATCTGTTGCCACACTAACAGCACCTGAGCTCCCACTGACAAGTAGGTCTCACAAGGTCCTGCCTTGCACACATTTCACAGGCAGACATCCCTTGCTCAGGGATCAAATATCTCAATGTTGACACTGAAGAAGGCAAGAAGCGTGCGTTGGGGCTCATCTCAGCTCAGAGTCTAGAAGTGACTCAGAGATGCTGCTGGTCTGAGAGTTTTAATATGAGCCTTGGGATACAATACAGGAATGCAGAAGGGAATTGTATTCTCTGTATCAGCAACGAACCATCAATAATTGAATAGTCAATACATTTAAAATAGCATAAAACATGAAATACTAGGATAAGTATGACAAAAAATGTTGTTTTACACACTAGAAATCACAAAATATTGCTTAGATTCCGGTGTTAGAGAAGACCTGAGTAAATGCACAGATAACGTTTGTTTTTTTAAATTGAGATGGAGTTTTGCTCTTGCCACCCAGGCTGGAGTGCAATGGCATGATCTTGACTCACTGCAACCTCCACCTTCCAGATTCAAATGATTTTGCTGCCTCAGTCTCCCCAGTAGCTGGAATTACAGGCATGCACCACCACACCCAGCTATTTTATTTTATTTTTGTATTTTTAATAGAGACAGCATTTTGCCATGTTGGCTAGGCTGGTCTTGAACTCCTGGCCTCAAGTTATCCACATGCCTTGGCCTCCCAAAGTGCTAGAATTACAGATATGAGCCACCACACCTGGCCCAGGTAGCCTTTTCATCTGAGACTGTGGAGAATGTTGCTGCAGCAGGCATGGGATGGAAATGCCCGGGTTGAGACTCTGTTGTGACCTGCAGATGACATGGTTCTGAATATCATTTTCCCCAGTGAAGTTCCAAGTGACCTATGACTTGCTTCCCAAATTCAGGAATTCAACGACCCTAGGACAGCACACAGCATGATTTCCTGGTCACTGACGCCATTTCCAAGGCTTAAACACAAAAACCATATCCATTATTCCTGTGTAAAGAGACCGTTTTAACAAAATTGTATATCACCTCCCTCCTTGCCTTAGCGTTTTCCAGAGTGAGAACATATTTCTCCAACACATGAGAATATTGGTGATCTCATGTTGACAGATTTTTAAAAAGCTGAACAAACTCTTAGCCTATAATTCAAAATCCATACTTCTAGCTATTTAACTAAATGAGTTACATTATTTCTAAATAAACTAAACATCTGGGCTTGGGTCCTGGCATTTACT